GAGTAATCGGAACGATTCCCTAAGTCAATCAATTTAAAAATGATGGTTACACAGTGGTAGAAGAAAAAGATACAATAAATAAGTTTACTGATCTTTCGGATGAGTCACAGAAAAAACTTCTAAAACAAGGAAAAGCAGAGAAAGTAAGTCTAAATACATTAATAGATAATGACTCAAAATATCTAATAGATGGTGAAGTATTGTCTAAGCTTATTGGTAATGAGCCGATAAAAATAGGCAAATCACTTATAGATTCATTGCGTTAATCTCTGATACCGCTTAAAGATTTAAAAAATTATGTGGTTCTAAGAACTACAAAAAACAACATATTCATTGGCTCAAGAAAAAAGATAATAAGTTCATGTGGCAACAATTTCGTGGTGATCAATCGAAATTACTAAGTTTGTCAATATCGATACGCCTACAGTATACAATGTGTGAGTACAGTATACAACAGAGCGGCGGAAGACCGTAAAATTAGTACGAGGCGCTTAGGAAATCAACTGGAAGTCTCTAAAGATGTTGTCCATAGGGTAATAAAAGAACAATTATTACATCCATACCACCTTCAAAAAGTGCAAGAGCTTCTTCTACCTGTGGATTACGAAATGCGTTTGACTTTCTGCCAACTCATCCAAAACGAAAGAATCCACGACCCACATTTTAGTAGAAGGATTTTATTCACAGATGAGGCAACGTTTAGAAGATCAGGTAGGTATCACTAACATGCGTAACGAGCATGTTTATGCTGAAAAAAATCCGTATATGACCACAGCTGTCCACCATCAGCACAAATTCAAAGTTAATGGAGTTAGTCAATTTAAATAAAAACAAATTTTTCCTCTTTCTTGCTTTTTTTATTTTATTGTATTTCTATATCGATTGTCATCTTGTCAACTGTAAATGCGTGATTTGTTTTGTATTATTTTGGATTTTGTTTAAATGTGTTTTGATTTTTGGTTTTTGATTTTTTGATGGTCTATTGTATTTATTCAATTATATAAAAAGAAAATGTTTCAAGTTTAGATTTAATGTTTAATATTTTTTCAACTTAATTGATAATTCTACTGAAGATGAGGATTGTTTCCTCGAAATCGATATAGAAATACAATAAAATAAAAAAAGCAAGAAAGAGGAAAAATTTGTTTTTATTTAAATTGACTTAAACAAAGCTTGCTAATGGATAATTTAATTAATCAATGGAGTCAGTTCAGTTTGGGTTGGAAGTTCAGTTTGGGCTGGAATTGTTGGCGATAACATCATTGGACCGGTAATAATACCAAATGGGTTAAATGGCGAGGTTTATTTAAATGTATTAACCCACAACCGGTAAGGTGGGTCACCTGTGACCCGAACGTATTTAATAACGCTCTAAAAGTTCACAAATTTTAATGTAAAGATAAGAAACACTACCTATACCCTTTCCCCCATCTGTCTTCAATGCGCTTCCGATCTTACTGTCGGGTAACTCTGATAAACTAGTTATTGGTCCAACTTCAACATAGAACATTACGAAACCGAGTCACGGGCGACCCATCATACCTTATGAGTAACTTTTTTTAATTAATTTTTTTTCTTAGTCCAGTTTTTGTTTCTGCTTATTTATACGCAGAATGGAACCGATGGATGTAGATGAAAATTTTTTTGATGAGTTTCGCCGAAAAATAGACGAAGATGATTCAGAAAATTTAGATGAGTTTAATGATTCATGTACTGAAACGGAAGATGAAATTTTAGAAAATGATAACAACGTGGAAGACATGTTTGAACCTTCCGACAATGATAGATATCATAGTTTGTGATAAGCATGCAACCAAGCTAGACGTGCGCGTGCCTCTCCAGGTTAAGTCGACGAAAATTATCGAGGTGGTTTGAGTTACCGATTAATTCAACTTGATTTTCGACGTTTTTAAGTTGAGTGTGTTAATTAGTTAAAGAGAATGGTGGTCACCAAGAAACAATTGAGTGATTTTGAGGAGGTGTTGACTGAGTTATTCAAGAAAGAGTCGTTCATTGCCAATATCGCCAAATCAATATCGTCCATTCTAAGGGATGAACTCAGGGAACACAAGGAAAAGGTTAATATTCTCGAAGAAAAGGTTGTAATATTGGAAGCGGAGGTTACTCGTTCGAAGTCCGACAATACCGTATGTAGAGCAGACCATGAGGAAAAACTGGATCGACTTGAGCAATACACTCGACGGAATAGCATTCGAGTTTTCGGGGTAAGCGAGACAGACAATGAGAACACCGAACAAGTTGTATTAGATATTATTAATAAGAAAATGAACCTCGCATTGTTACCGGATTCTATCGATCGTTGTCATCGAGTTGGACCGAAGCGAAATGGAAAGAACCGACCTATTATTATGAAATTTATAAGTCACAAAACCAAAGATCGCGTATTTTATCATAAGAAACTGTTAAGAGGAACTCAGTTTATAATTCGAGAAGACCTTACGCACCACCGGATTTGTGAATTGAGAAAACTGGAGGAAGAATATGGTAAAAGAAGAGTGTGGAGCCGTGATGGAACTCTGTATGCAGAAGTCGACGGACAGAAGAAAAGAATGTTGATATAACTTTTTCGATTCTTGCTTTTTTCGAAAAATTTCTGTTCGATTTTTCAATTTTTTTTTTCTTCTTTTTTGTTTTCGATTGTTAAAAATATATATACAATCTTTCGATTGTTTTGAGACTTTTCCTCCGTTTGATCTAATTGACGAATCTAGTTTATTTGTTACCTGGAGGGAAAGCACTCTAGAATGTAGTTTATATATATTTAAATCTTTTTCAATAGTTAAATTTCATTTAATTGTAGTTATTATTGTTTTTTTTTTTTTTTTTGTATTTTNTGTTTCGTTTTTTTTGTTTTTGTATATTTTTTTCTTGTTTGTATTATTTCATACTTTTTATAACACGTGTATAAAAATTCGTAATGTTTTTGAAAATTAGAATAATCGGAGCTTAACATTTACCTCGAAAACGGTGATTTTTATCAATATTATCTAAAAGTGATAAAAGTTTCTAAAATAAATTTTCTATTAGAAACTGCAAAAATAATTGTAGGGTTACGATCGAAAAAAAATGTTTTGAGCAAACAAATTTTAGGAACAGCCTGTATAGCATTGTTCCCGCGGACCGATCCAACTTATAAATTGCCTAATGGTTTTACGTGATATTAGTTTATACTGTACCAAATTTCAACACATTACCATAAATAGTGTTTAAGATATTTAGAAAAATGTGTTAAAATTTCCTAACTTTGATGGCTTCTATCTTTGAAATTTGAGGACTTTTACTATTTTTTCTACATGAATCGTCCTCATTTTTACTCTGGTATATGTGGTTAAATTTGTTCCCCGAGTCACCGAAACACCCTCTATACTTTTTATGTGCATATCATTATTATGACATTATTACTATTTTGTTGTGTGTGGAATAAATAAAAGTAAGTTAGATATTTGGGTGGTGTAACTTAGCACTGCGTGTGGTACACTGAATTCGTTCGTGTTATGGTGATTAGGGATGCTATTAGGATGGCACACCTAAATGTGCAATCTGTTCATTCTAAACCTATTGATGACTTAGCAAAGTTGATAAATAGTAATAAATTGGATATTCTTTCAATTTGTGAAACCTGGATGACGGAGTTAAGTGATAATATAATAATGGATGGTTTCCACAGAAATCTCCAGCTGCAAATTACAGAGAGTTTCACGAAATCTTGGAAACCTCATTTAGTGATCTTTTGCCTTGGAGACTTTAATATATATCTTTTGAAAGATGACGATCCATCAGTAGAGGCGATACAGCTTATCAAAAAACCTACTAGAGTTACGAGAGTTTCATACGGCTATAGGATTGCCCATTAATATCAATTACCAATCAAATCGATATTAATACCAATTAATATAGATTTTGAAAGAAAAACTGCAGAAGATTATCTAGAAAGACATAAAGAATTAACAGGTGAAATTTATAAAAAACTAACTAAAAAACAAGTTAAAGATAAATCTAAACTCATTGACAAAATTAATGAAAACATAAAAGATACTGATTTTAAAAAAGGACAAATAGTATATTGGTTCAAAGATACACAAAATAAATTAAAGTGTAACGGTTCTTATAAAATCATTAAATTACTTGAAAATAATAAAGTTGAAATAACAGCATTAGATAAAGTTAAAAATAAAACAAAGGTAGTACATGTGAAAGAGATAAAACATAGAAGCTTTTCAGGTACGCATATTGGCATCATGTTCGCAACATCAGAACTAATAGCGGCTTTCACACGTACACACTTTCACGCAGTCTTGGAATGGCCCGTTCCAGTCGCGCAGGTTTGAACTTGCTTGTGAACACATTTTGCGCGCGCATGCTAGGAACGCGTGATACAGCAGTCGAGTTCGGGACGCTTTTATCGCGGAGTTTTGTCTCTTTTGAAAAATACTTTCACGCGGTCTAAAGTGTGGGTTTGTTTTGCAAGTATTTGACATAAAAATAACTTATTATGACTGATACGCGATATTGGTCAAAAGATTTCATGATCAACTTCATAGAGGAATATAAATCTAATCCGTGCTTATGGAAAATAAGATCTAAAGAGTACACAAACAAAAATTTAAAAAACGATGCATACGAAAAGTTGGTGAAACTTTGCCAAAGCATATATCCAGAGGCAAATCGCGATTTTGTGGTTAAAAAGATTCAGAGCTTGCGAGGATCTTTCCGAAAGGAACTCAAGAAAGTAGAGTCGTCAAAGAGAAGTGGATCATCAACTGATGATGTTTATGTACCATCTTTGTGGTATTTCGACTTGCTATTATTCACGAAGGATCAGGAACTACCCACTGCTAGTATAAGTAACATTCCTAACACCGAGGATAATCAGATTCTTGAGGAGGATGATTTGGAGCAGGATCAGGAAGCATCGGTCGGATTTTCTGAAGAACTTGTCAGCACTCCAGGAAATAAGGAAAATATTGAAAACACCGAGGTAAGTTTATCTGACATGTTATTTTATTACACAGGTAATAGGCATTCGTACAACTGGATACCCTTTCAAGTAATGATAGATGAAGGTACTTATTTAATTAACAAAAAGTTTATGCTTTTCCTTTTCGAAGCATTTCATCTTGAAAGTCTATTTTTCCATCTCCATTGAAATAATGCATATAAGCTTCACGAACTATTTTTGCTGATGAACTAGCATTTCTCGCTGTGATACATGGCTGTAGATTGACCATATCTACATTATTATTTCTCCAGTCCCCCATTTGAATACATCCATCGGCATTATACTGATCGAAAGTTGAACTTGATACATATGGTGTTTTTAGTTTTAACAAAAAATTGTGTAATGCGCAAATAGCTAATACTACATATTTTATTTTTGTGGGAGCCATGTTTATTGCTGTGTGGAGAATTCTGAATTTAGCTGCTATTTGACCAAAAGCATTTTCTGTTACGTTCCTTGCCCTGGACAATCTATAATTAAAGATTCGTTTTGCATAATCAAGTTCCTTTTGTGGAAATGGTTTTAAAAAAATGTTCATGTAGACTAAACGCTTCGTCCATAAACACATAGTTTAAATTATTAACAGTTTCGAAGTTATCTGGTAAACTGAGTTCTGACTTCATTAATTTATCGTAAAAGTCCGTGTACTCGATAACACCACCATCTGATAGTCTTCCGTTTTTTCCCACATCCACAAAAATAAATTCGTAATTTGAATTCACTAGCGCCATCAAAACTATTGAATAAAAGTTTTTATAATTGTAGTATTGCGCTCCTGAATAAGGAGGAGGCACTATTCTGATGTGTTTACCGTCCAAAGCTCCTCCACAGTTTATGAAATGCCATCTGTCTTGAAATCCCTTAGAAATATTAAGCCATTCTTCTTTAGAAGTTGGAAACTGCAAAGAAAAAAATCAATTAATGATTTTGTTCCAGGCTAAGAAGACCACGTCGAGTGTCGTGACACCAGTTTCAAAAAAAAAGGATCATTTCCAAAGAGACAAAAAAAGGCCAAATACTTCCACAGAAACCAGAGAATTCATTGAATTGTGTAAAACCGTATTGGAGCCTCAGAAAAGCGTTACGGATCTCACTCAATTTGATGCGGCAGGTGTGAGTGTAGCGAAAAAGCTACAAAGGATGCCTCCAAGCCAAGCCATATACGCCGAAAGCCTTATCAATCAAGTACTGGCAAGAGGACTTTTCAATAATTTATCTATTTATCTATCTTTTTAAATCCTTTTCTTTACATTTTCTACTGCTAAATGATTAATGAAAGTTATAAAAATGCCGATCCACTGACATTGGATGGAATTTGTACAATTAAGTATTATTCGTATTATTTGTAGGTTACTTACTTTCATGGATTCTCCTTTCAAAGACTCAAACATGGCCTTACAAGTTTCCGGGATCAAATCACAAAGAGTTGATGTACCAATGTCTGTGGTGAAACTCAAATCTTGAAGTGATCGACCCGTTGCCAAAAATCTTAGCGTTGCCGTTAATCTTTCCTCCGGACTAATACTCTGTCTCATTACAGTATCTTGCTTCACAATTTTGGGACCAACAAGTTCTAATAATTTATCAAATGTGGTCGAATCCATTCTTAAGTAATTCTTATAGTCATCTGGGTAATTTTCTCTCAATTGACGTAGAAGTGGCATATGTCCGTGTACCTCACCTCACGATCTTGTTTCCATTGTTTGACCCATTCCGTTCTGTTTCGCTGTTTAGACTTTTCCAATATTTTTTTATAAGTATATATGGCAGCAACTGCAATAATCTGATTATTCCTTCGACTTTTAGGCATATTTAACCATCTAAAAAGTAAAAATTATTCAAAAATTTATCAACTCTAGACAAAAATTTCAAACTTACCTGAAATTCCAAACGCCACACTAATCGCGAATGATACCGGAAATTTTTACGTTCACACACACGACATC